CCCCAGGGTGGACCCCCAACGCACCGAGGAACTCCCAGACCTCCTCCTCGGTGGCACGGTTGCCCTTCAGGAAGATCACGCCCAGGAGCGTCATCAGCAGACCAGACTTGGGCAGCCCCCTATCACCACTCAGATTTTCGTCGCTGGGGAGGCCCAGCTTGCAGACCAGGGCATAGGAGTGACTGCTGGGGTCGACCTCCTTCAGCTCCAGGCCAAAGACCAGCTCCAAGCGCTCAGAGACTCTCCTGAGGATCTCGGGGAAGTGCTCCTTGTACTTCCTGTTGACGATCTTCAGCAGGGCTGTCTGCGTGATGGGCTCATTGGTCTTGTACTTCTCCAGCAGGAACGGCACCAACTCGCACGCCTTCCTGGTCAGAGGATCTCTGAGAGAGCTCTGAGCGGAGCATGCTGCCTGGGAGGCGCTGGCCCTCTCCTCTTGGCTCTGGGCACCTTGCTCAGACCCCGAGCACGCACCCCCCGCCTCGGGAGAGCCGGGGGCCACGGCTCCCTCAGGCTGCTGGCTAGTGCCAGCGGCAGGGGAGCTCGGGGGAGAACCCTGAGAAACAGAAGGGGGGGAGGAGGGGGTCTCCTCCTCTGCTGCGGCAGCTTCAGTGGCCCGTGCACCCTGGAGATTCTGGGTCTCCAACCGGGCCTGGTAGCGCTTCATGCGGGCACGGCGCTTGCTCTTCTGCCCCCGAGGCATGATGACACAGGTCAGGGACAGCAGCAGGCAGGACTGCGGGCAGGGAAGCAGGCGAGGAGGACACCTGGAGGAGGGACAGGGAGATGCCTGAGCACCCTCAGCAGGGAGATTCCTCCCTGGCTCTCACCAAGGCCGCCTCTGCAGGGTCCTTGAGGGCACCGCTCCAGGACCCGCAGGGCTGCCTTCTCCTGGTCAGCCTGTGCCCTGAGGACGCTGTGGACGACGTCAGACTGAGGCTTGGGCCGCAGCCAGACAGCCCTGCCTGGGCCTTACTGGGGTGACAGTGGGGGCTGGCAGGGGAGGTAGTTCCTCTCGGTCACATTCAGAGTCAGGATGACAACTGTTGGCAAGACTCCACCCCCTCCCCTCTGCTGCTCTCAAGCTGACTCTACCATCTCCCATGTTAGCCACGAGGAGGACAAGGGGGAGCACCCAGCCCACCACTGAAGGGCCCGCGACCCTTCCTTCCGCTGTCCGGTGGCTGCCCCTTCAGAACAGAGGTCTAACCTCCCTTAGACTTGAGAGAGGAAACGATGGAAGTCTCAGCCTGACAGTCCTTTCCTGGGCTTTTAAGGGTTGACAGGAGGGGACAGGCCACATTCTCTGGTCCCTTCTCTTCAGGGTGGGGGACTGGCCTAGTCCTCACTGGGGGTCCTCCCTGGACCGCTGGTGCAGCCTGGAGCTGCTCTCTCTGGCCTGAGGGCTGTCCACTCCCACCAATGGCAGCACCTCCTGGAGACTCATCTGGGGGAAGGGAGGGTGACTGCGGAGCCCCAGCGGCCAGAGTGTGACCCAGCCTGCAGCCTGCAGCCTGCAGCCTGCAGCAGACAGGTCGAGGCCCTGTGGCTGACACTCCCCCCTCCACACCGTGCATCACTCGAGCCCCTCCCCTCGCAGACAGTAGCCTCACTTCTCAGTGTTTGGCTGACAGGAAGTGGCTGGCGTCGGGGAGGGATCCGAGGGGCCCTTGTTACGGGGAGGGTGGTCTCACAGGCCTGCGGGACTCACCCTGAGTCTCCCCAGGCCCAGAAAATCCCCCCCACCCCGTGCTGCCAGGCCGCCAGCCCCTCAGACCAGGCCCCGCCTCCCGCCTCCCGCCTCTCCGAGCACGAGGTGAGGGCGCCCGGCCTCAGCCCTCAGCCCTGCCCCGACCCCCAGGCCGCTGTCAGGAGCGGGCACGAGGTGAGGGCGCCCGGCCTCAGCCCTCAGCCCTCAGCCCTGCCCCGACCCCCAGGCCGCTGTCAGGAGCGGGCACGAGGTGAGGGCGCCCGGCCTCAGCCCTCAGCCCTGCCCCGACCCCCAGGCCGCTGTCAGGAGCGGGCACGAGGTGAGGGCGCCCGGCCTCAGCCCTCAGCCCTGCCCCGACCCCCAGGCCGCTGTCAGGAGCGGGCACGAGGTGAGGGCGCCCGGCCTCAGCCCTCAGCCCTGCCCCGACCCCCAGGCCGCTGTCAGGAGCGGGCACGAGGTGAGGGCGCCCGGCCTCAGCCCTCAGCCCTCAGCCCTGCCCCGACCCCCAGGCCGCTGTCAGGAGCGGGCACGAGGTGAGGGCGCCCGGCCTCAGCCCTCAGCCCTCAGCCCTGCCCCGACCCCCAGGCCGCTGTCAGGAGCACGGTCTGCGGCCCCCGCTCGCGGGTGTGGGGTCCCCGCGGTGCTCCCGCAGGGTCTCTCCTTCACTCTGGAGGGCCTGGGGCTCCCCGTCTACTGAGCTGAGCCGGGCTCCACCAGCCTGGGACCAAGGCCTCCTCCCCGGCACCCCGCGGGGAAGTGAGGGGACTCTGGGCCTAACAGCCACGCGGGGTCCTCCGGGGCCCAGAGCAGGGGCGGGAGGGCACGGCCTGAGGGGCCGCCTCTTCTGGGGGGCAAAGGGGTCCAGGGTGTCGGGGCCGTGTCCCCGCCTCGTAACTCAGGATACCTCACACCTGGACACCTGACAGGACGCGGGGCTCCTCCCTCTGCTCACCCTGGGCGGCAGCTCTCAGGAATGGCGTCAGGCCCTGAGTGTGGTGACAGGGACGTCGCTTTGGCTTCTGGTCACGCACATCCGGGCCTCTGGGAGGACAGCAGGGGCGGGGTTCCAGGGGAGAGCCGGCGGGTCGAGGAGCACGTGCACCTTCCGTGGGCTCTCAGCGGGTCCTGGGGCTTCTCCCTCTGCTGAGCTGAGTCCGCTGGGCGCAGACCATGCCTCTCACTTCCCTCGGGTACCCCAGCAGGAAGTGTCTGGGGCCTGAGCCTAGCAGCCATGTCTGGGGCCTTCAAGACTGACAGTCGGGAGCTCTCTGGGCCCCTCTTTCTGGTGGGTGCTCCTCTCAGTCCTCTCTCAGGATCGTCCCTTGATTGCCAGCAGGTGCTGGTCTACCTCCCATCTGCCGACTCGAGGCCAAGGCCTCAACATGAAAGACATCAGCTCCCTGAGCCTCCTGGTGTGAAGTGCAGGTACATCTCATCTGGCCA